GCAGGGGGCTTCGCTCAGCATTGCTGGGGGGTTCTCACCCCCTCTCCCCAGACGCCCCCCCCACATTCCCCCCACGCACCCAGGGCGGTGGGATGCTGGTCCTGCGCCCCCCCTCAACCCCCCCAGCAGCCGGGTTTGGTCTATGGCGCCGCAGGTCCCTGCCTCTGGAGGGCAGCATGAGGACAGAGCTGTGTCTTGGATATTTTTTTTAATAGAAAGGCTATTATTACATTGTCTATTTTATCAATACGGGTCATAATTGCTGTATTTTTTATCAGTGCTGATTTCCATACAGCTCCCAGCATGTGTGTCAAATATCATCGGGCCAATAATAAAGTTTTTAAAATATCTTAAGCCGTTTCTTGCCCAGATCATTGCCCAGCACATCGGCCTCTGCCGGCATCGGCCCGGGGCTGGGACCAGGGATGCTCCGGGGCCAGGCCGATGCCTCCAGCCAAGGAAAACACTGGGGGTGGGAGAGGTGGGGGTGATTTTATTGCTCATAAATTACTTTTACTCATAAAAAATTATTTCAGGTTACATCTTGCAGGTGCCACCAAGCCAGGAGGTGCAGTGAAACCCCGGGGGCTGGCTGGAGCCTGGGGTGGCAGCCCAGGGATCCTGGCAGGGGGCTGCAGCCCCTGGGAATGGGCTGGAAGAGGACAACGCTGGTCCGGTGGCTGAGGGGAACCCCAGGCCTGCCCCCTGCCCTGGGCTATGACCCCCCTCCAGCCCTCTCCCACCCCGCAGCAGAGCCCTTCCCCTCGCCCCTGTCCTCTCTGGATCCCCCCATCCGTCTGCTCCAGCCCAGGAGAGGAAGAAGAGCACATCGAGTAGAGACTCCCAGCCCTTGCCCAAGCCAGAGCCCGGGCGATGGCAGAAGAAGCCAGAAAAGGTTTTTTTTTTCCTGCAAAAACTGTCAGAGGAGCCACAGCAGCGACGAGCATCTGACTTTTGGAAAGAGTCCTGCCTGCACTGAGACCCACCGGCAGCGACCCACGCGCCCAGGGCTCTGTACTCAGCAAAACATCCCCTGCCCGGGCCACAGTGCACCAGTGATTAAACTGTGCAAAAAATGACAAATACAAAGGAAAAGGCAAAACCTCCCAGAGCTCACAGCCGCTCGCCCGCAGGAGAGGCAGTTCCTGCCTGGAAAAACCCCTTCTCCCTGTTCCCGGAGCCGGGAAGCGACTGGCAGCAGCGGGAACTGGCTCACTCGGGGGCACACACACCGGCAATAAGCTTAGCAAATGTATATATATATATGTGTGTGTAAGTATATTTATCTCTATCTCTATCTCTCTCTCTCATGCAGCCCTAGTAATACAGGAAGAGCAAGCAGCCAAGCAAGAGGTCTGGATGGGAGAGCCTGTCTGAGGGGAGTTCCCCCCCAGCCTTCAACCGCCGGGCACCCCGCGGCCCCAGGCACCCCAAGGCACGCTTAAACAGAGCCCTCGCCTCCAAAAGTGGTTTTTCTAGCTTATATTTTACAGCAGTACCATAATACCCTACTATATACAGCGACCCGGCGCTGCAGGAGCTCTGGGAGTGGCGCCGTCCCCGTCCCCGCGGGGGCTGCACCCCACTGTCATCACCCCACTGCCTCCAGCCCGGGGTGGGTGACTGGGGTCTCGCAGGAGCCTGGGAGCTCCTTATGGCTCCCAACACCCCCATCGTGGCTCGTGTGGGGGATCTGGACTACCCTGTCTGTCCCAGGGGTCCCTCCTCACCGGGCAGAGGGGAGCGGGGGGAGCGTCTCCCCTCTGCCATTGCCCTCCGCCCTGTGCCAGCCCAAAGCACGGCTCTGGAGAGCTATTTTCCAGCCGAGACTGTTCTCCCAACCCTGGCGAGCTGCTGCGAAGACCTAGAAGCAATCCCAGCTACGGGACACGCTGGGAGGGTGCAGGGGGCTGCCATCCCCCTAGTTCTGCGCAGGCAAAGGGGACAGGCTGTGGGGCAGCGGTGTCATCCTCTGCCACCGAGGGCCGGGGGGGACAAGCTGGGTGTAGAGAGGAGAGAACGAGGGCACTAGCTTTAGCCTTTGGCTTTCAAAGTAGCAGGATTAAATAAACTCCGCCTAAAAATTGGAAGTCCTGGAAAAAGCTGGACATGCAGCGGCGAGGAGGAGGCAGCGGCGAGCGCCGCGCGGCACAGCGGGCACCGGGGGTCCCGGATCAGCTGATGAGCGGGGCCGAGCGGTCGTTGGTCACCGTTGGCTTCAGCTGGACGTTGGCAAAGGGGTTTCTGCGGAGAAAGAGGAAGGCAGAGTTCAGCAGGAGGGATGGTGGCAGCTGGGGGGGGGCAAAGCTGCGAGGACGGGGCCACTGGCACGGCGAGGGGTGACCTGGCGAGACCCCCGAGAAGCTTTTGCTGCAGAGCTGGGCACGCTTCGAGGCTGAGCCCAAGCCTAAGCAGGGCCACCAGTGAACCCGGAGCCACCAGTCCTGGCCCCTCCACCCGCCCTGGGTCCAGCAGCATTTGGGAAAGGGGGGGGTGAAGCTGGAAATGCTCTGCCCTGCGCAGCCCTTGGGCCGAGCTGTCCCTCGCTCCTCCGTGTCTTTCTCACGTAAAGCCGTGGTAGATCTGAGATGGGCCACCATGTAGGATGTTCTCCCACCTCAATCTCCAGCAGGCCTAAAGCTGGGGCTGCCAAAGGGGGGATGCTGAGGCTGGAGAAGCTGCTCCATCCCCCCTGCGCAGCCCTTGGGCCGAGCTGTCCCTCGCTCCTCCGTGTCTTTCTCACGTAAAGCCGTGGTAGATCTGAGATGGGCCACCATGTAGGATGTTCTCCCACCTCAATCTCCAGCAGGCCTAAAGCTGGGGCTGCCAAAGGGGGGATGCTGAGGCTGGAGAAGCTGCTCCATCCCCCCCAGGCTGGGTTTGAGTCGTTCCCATGTGCAGGAGCACCCCAAGATCGCCCGACTCTGCACCATGCTGCTGTGGGGGAGCAGAGGGCTATGGCTCCTGGGTCCCCCCTTGGCTAAGAGCAGAGCTTGCAACCCCATGTTGGCTGGGAATCCTTTTAAGAAGCTAAATATCCAAGAGGCAGAGCACGGGGAGAAGAAGGGCACCCAGAGGAGCTCACAAGCCCGAGCACAGCCTGGCTCCCAGCACACCAGCGCAGCCCAGGGCTGACCCCCATCTTTTACCTACCTGGGGTGTCCCCAGCGCTGTCCCACTGCCACCAGCGCTTTCCGTGGCCAGCCCATTGCTGTGCACGGCATCTGTGCAGCCCTAGGCACGCACAGGTCCTGCAGCCAGGACCAGTGGGGGGACCACCCTTACCTGCCCCAAGGAGGTCCCCTCTGTCCCCTGCTGGCAGGAGGTATCACCCAGGGGGTGCAGGCAGGCAGCCACGGGGGTTCTGTTGGCAGCCCATGGTGCACAGCCACCCTGGGCTACCCGGAGCCACTGGGTCCAAGCCTGCAGTGGGCTCAGTGGCCAAGGGCCGCCTATGGCAGCGCTTTCCATGGCCAGCCCATTGCAGCCCTGGGCATGCACAGGTCCTGCAGCCAGGATTGGGGGGGACCACCCTTACCTGCCCCAAGGAGGTCCCCTCTGTCCCCTCCTGGCAGGAGGTATCACCCAGGGGGTGCAGCAGGCAGCCACGGGGGTTCTGTTGGCAGCCCATGGTGCACAGCCACCCTGGGCTACCCGGAGCCACTGGGTCCAAGCCTGCAGTGGGCTCAGTGGCCAAGGGAGCTGCAGAGTCCCCCACCCTGCAGCCTGGTGCACCCCCTGTCCCTCCTGCCTGCAGCCCCCCCCGCCACACTCCCTGCCTGCAGCCAGCCCTTCCTCTGCCCCAGCCCTCCCCAGGGACCTGCAGGAACCCTCTCCTTTCTGCAAACGGAGGCAATGGCCGTGTCCCTGTGGCTGTGAGCCCCGCGTGGCCCCAGTGCTGCCACATCCCCACACATTGTGTCCCCTGGGCCACCAGCAGGTCTCCCCCTGTCCCCCTGGCAGGTATACCCCTGCCATTCCCAGACATGGGTGCCCATAAATCATTAGCAAGACAAATATGACCATGGGGTTAATCCACTTCAGGAACAGCCCTGGTTACCAGCTACCTCTGCCTGGACGTGGCCAGATTTGGGACATCCCCGGCCACCTCCCATGGGGCAGGAGGAAGGGGCTCAGTCCCCCTCCCCGCCCCCCCGGGAAGGGCACTCGCTGCCTCCCCAAGCCCCTCTCCCCTGCCATCCCTCACCTCTCCACGTGCGCTTTCCTCAAAAGATAAATAGCTTTTGCTTAAAAATAGGGTAATTAATTTCCCACCTAATTAATGCAGATTCTTAGATCACTTTTCCTCCCAGGATGCCAAAACAGATTCTCAGGACTGGAGGGAGAGGAAAGGTTGCTTTGATGAGTCACCGGGGGTTATTATTTAACTATTTTTTTTGTTCTGGCAGAGGAGAGCCGTTGGGACGGGAGCCCACAGCTCCGGCAGCCGCGGGAAAACCAGCTCACGGATCAAAGAGAAACAGGGAAAGGGCTCTCCTGGGGCTCTGCGACACCAGCGACGGGGGGTCTCGGCTCCATCCCTGCCCTGAGGCCCACCCCCGAGGCTGGGGTCGGGACATGTCCCCCAGGGTGGTCTACAATCAAAAGAAGCTGCTCAAAAAACTTGTCATTAGTGTGGCTCTGCCCTGTCCCGCAGGAGAGGGCTGGGGACGGCGCCGCAGCGACGAGGCACTTGGTGGGACCCCCGGCGACCTACAACCGAAGAGGCTGGTTATGGGGAGCAGGGGGAGCGGCAGCAGCGGGGGGAGCAGCTCAGTGTCCCATGGGAAGCGTGGGATTCCCCCCCTGGCGTGCTGGCAGAGCGAGGAGCCGTGCGGATGCAGCGCAGGTAGAGCCAGGGCTCCCGCCACCGGGATGGGGACAAGCGGTGAGCGAGGGGGAAGGGGGGGGACACCACGCTCGGCCGGGTTGCAGGGGGTGAAGCAGAGCGGTGGCACCGTCCCCGCGCAGCCCCCGCGGCCGTCACCCCAGCACCAGCACACCCAGGGCTCGGCCGTCCCCCCCGAGACCGGCAACTTACTAACTACGGGCAGGGGGGCACCTCAAAACCTGGCCACTTCAACATCGGGGCTGCAAGGGAAAGAGAAGGCAGGTTGGAGGACACCGGGGACGCTCTCCGGCCCCTTGATGGGAACAGAAGGTGTTTGGTTAAGGAGAGGGAAGGGGGCTACCAGCCGGCGGCCACCCCCCGGCCCGAGAGCCCCCCACACAGCACCTCCGGGTAGAGGAAGCAGGAGGAAAAAAAGAAGAAAAAAGGAGGAAAAGTGGTGTTTATTGAGTTGCTGGTGCTGCCCGCCGGCTCCCTGCGAGGAGGGGAAGGAAGGGCACGGCCAGCTGGGGCAATGGGAGCCACCTGCGGAGAGGAGAGGCCGGGCATGGCGGGGGCTACGGAAGGGAAGGGGGGTGGTTTCCTTCCCCCCACCCTGGCCGTGGCCACATTCCCACCGCCGCCGAGCCGGGGAAGCGCAGCCTTGCCGTGCAGCAAGCGGTGGCGGCAGCAGCATCCCCCCCCCCGGGATGCTCAGGGAGGAGGGATGGGGCCCTTAAACAGTTTTCGCTGCTCCCACTCAGCAAAGCTGTTTAAAAACCCCCCAGCTGGCTAATGCCGAGGGGATGGAGATGGGGAAAAAAAAGAATAAAAAATAAAAAATAAAAAAAGGCTGCATGGCAACATGCAATGGGCGATGCAGGCGGTGACGGGCAGCACGCAGGCACGGCAGCCAAAAAAGACACCGAGGCCCAGCTCAATGCAATAAATAAAACTTTTATTCAAACAATAACTCAGTACAGGGCACATTTCTCTCTGGCTTTTAAAAAAGGTGTTTGTTTTTTTTTCCAGCGCTTTACAATCTCCATACAGGCCTTGCTAGGCTGGGATTCTTTGTTTTGTTTTGTTTTTCTTCCCCTTTCTACGTTCAGTCACTCAGCATGAAATATCCTGGGTTAAAAATCTTTAGCAAAATCAGGACATCGATGCAGGAGGGTCTTGTTACAATATGCCCAGAGGCGAGTATATAAAACAAAAACTTGTCCGTGTGTGTGTGTGTGTGTGTCTGTATTGCCAGCAATGTCCTAGTAAACAGGCAATGTTAAGAGGTTCTAAAAATCACATCAGAAAAAGAAAGCGTGTACAGCTCTGCGGTGGAGACGGCCACGGGCACTGGAAGGGCTACGGCCGGGCTCGGCTGAGGGAACGGGACCCCCAGCACCGACCCAGCCCGGGGTGGGAGACCCCCGGGTGCTGCCGAGCCCCCGGCACAGCACGGGGAGGGTGCCTCGTCAAGCCCGGTTTAGGGACGCGAGAGCATCCTCGGGTGGCTCCGCACCAGCCCCCCAGCACTAACATGAGGTAACAATACCTTGCTACAAAAAATATATATATATATATATTTATAAAACAACCAGGAATAACCCTTCCAGGGGGGCTGCCGGCTGCACCCCACGGCCGGCGGGACCCCAGCCGAGAAGCAGCCCTTTCCCCAGCCTGGGGAGGGGGGTGAGGGGGGGGAGCTTGGCACCATCTGCTTCGCCCAAAGCCACCGGGGCGGGTGTTTGGGTGGAAGCGGATCAGGGCCAAGGGGGAGGCGTGGGGATGCTGCCCCCCCTGCCCCTTATCCCCCCTGGGAACGGCATCCCGGGCGCGGGCATCCCGGATGCTCGGTAACAGTACGGACACCAGAGGCCATGCATATTTTGTTCCAGTCTGGGAGTTTTTTGTCCAGGCTCGTGCGAGGCGGCCGGCGTGCAGCCCCGGAGGAGGGAGAGCGCATCGCTAACATTCACACAGGAGTACAAAAAAAAAACTGGGTCCCACTAAAGTGTAAAAAACTGCATCCAGGCTGCTTCAAAGCGAGCACAGACCGATGGGCAGTTTCTGCTCTGAAAAGGCTTCAGAAACAAGGGCACTGTGAACACCGGGGAAGGGGTGGAGAAGCACCATGGTTTCCTTGAAGATCACAAGAGTTGAAAATCCAAAAGAAGTAGAGAAAGAGAAACGAAGGGGGAAGGAAAGAAATAAAAAAAAAAAAAAAAAAAAAATTGGGTGGAAGCGGATCAGGGCCAAGGGGGAGGCGTGGGGATGCTGCCCCCCCTGCCCCTTATCCCCCCTGGGAACGGCATCCCGGGCGCGGGCATCCCGGATGCTCGGTAACAGTACGGACACCAGAGGCCATGCATATTTTGTTCCAGTCTGGGAGTTTTTTGTCCAGGCTCGTGCGAGGCGGCCGGCGTGCAGCCCCGGAGGAGGGAGAGCGCATCGCTAACATTCACACAGGAGTACAAAAAAAAAACTGGGTCCCACTAAAGTGTAAAAAACTGCATCCAGGCTGCTTCAAAGCGAGCACAGACCGATGGGCAGTTTCTGCTCTGAAAAGGCTTCAGAAACAAGGGCACTGTGAACACCGGGGAAGGGGTGGAGAAGCACCATGGTTTCCTTGAAGATCACAAGAGTTGAAAATCCAAAAGAAGTAGAGAAAGAGAAACGAAGGGGGAAGGAAAGAAATAAAAAAAAAAAAAAAAAAAAAAAAAAGAAAAGAGGGGTGTAGAGGGGGAAAGAAGCAGAAAGCTCTTCCAAGCAGCAAGGGGCCGCCGCTAGCCAAGGTGTCCTCACACCGTTGATACCAAACTGCCACTGCCGCTGCGGAACAAAGCACAGGAGACTGCCAGAGTGGCCGGGATTGGGGGCACACGCCGTGGGGCAGCACCGTGCCCAGGACCCCCAGCCCCCCAGCACGATGCAACGGGAACCGGCGGCAGCAATCCCCCCCCAACCATGGAGCAGGGTGCTGAGCTTGACCCCTGCCCAGCACCGCATCGCTCACAGCCCGTGTTTTGGGGTTATCACCCCCCAAGAGCGAAACGGGGTGGCTCCAAAGCAGTGGAAATCAACCCCTGCCCAGCACCACATCGCTCACAGCCCATGTTTTGGGGTTATCACCCCCCAAGAGCGTAACGGGGTGGCTCCAAGGCAGTGGAAATAGGGATGGAGGAGCTGCTGGGTGGGAGAAGGTGGTGGGAAAGACCCCCAGAGCACACACTCGTTGTGGCCTCGCTGCCCGGGTGCAAGCCCGGAGGAGGTCGGGGAGTTGTGACTCTCTCCAGAGATGCACAAGCCCCAGCAGGGTGTGAGGTTGGGGACACAGGGGCTGGCCCTGGGACCTGCCCTCCCTGGGAGATGCTGGGTCTCACACATGAGACCCCACACCACGTCTCATCCCAGCCACCGCCTGTCCCCTGGGGAGCCCGCGCAGGGACCCCCTCGGGGACACGGCACCACGGCTTCACCCAGAGCCAACACCAACAGTTTGCTTTCAGGTAACGTGACAGGAAGGTGAAATCTTACCTGCTGACGGACCTCGACCCGTAGTCATCGAGACCCTGCGGAGAGGAGGGGAGGAAGCACGGTGAGGGGTGAGGGGACACGGGCTGTGCCACCCTCAGGTGCCACTGGAGGGTCACACGAACAGACCAAAGTGCATCGGGACCCAGGGACATGCCGGGGCCAAGAGCCGATGCATTTGGAGAGGAAAGGGAGATATGGAGATGGTTTAAATGGGATTTAGACAGCAGAGAGTAAAGTTGCACCACTCTCTTGGGAGTAGGACTTTATTCTGGTGAGACAAGGGGAAGCGACGGCCGGGAGAGCCCCGGTCTGCTCTGCCCAGCCCCACCGTGGTGCAGAGCTCCAGCCACTATTGAGACACTCAGAAAGGGATCGAACAGGTCTGAGAGACACCAGTGAAATGTTCTGTGGAAAGAGGTGCTTGTCTGTGTTAACTCCCACCAGAAACCCACAGGGTTTTGAACCATTTTCTCCTTTAGTTGATATTGAACGGCCTTTGCAGTGGGGAAGGACTCTGCAGTGGTCCAAGGAGCAGACAGGGAACAGGCTCAAAGGATGCCCCTTGAGGATGTCACTCCCTGGGGGTGAGGACCTGCCCTGGGATACGGCCACGGAGCAGCTCTGCTCTCTATGAAAACACAGGACCACTCAAAGAAGGACCAGGAGTCACTGATGTCTGAGCTGGCCACACACCAGGGATCAGAGACCCATGTTCCCACCATCCCAGGAAGGCTCCCAACCACTAAACCCCAAATCCTGAAGCAAATCCTGCTGGGAAAACCCAGCAAATGTCAAGCAGGGCTGCACTTGTCCCATCCCCTGCAGAGACAGCCAGACCCTGGCAGGAGCTGCCACCTCTCTGGAGCTCCTTGCCAAGGGTTCAGGTGCTCCGTGGCCACTGCTCTCCCTCCTCATCCTCTCCCAGCACATGCTGAGTGCTCCAGGGAAGCCAACATGGCTCATCCCACCATGCCAGCAGCTCCTGGGCTAAGCTGATCTCATCCACACATGCATCCTCCCCAGTTCAGTATCTGAGAAGCCCTGAGCTCGTTTTGGACAACCGCTGGAGTGGGGAGCCCTGGCCAGGGTCTGCCCCAGCCCTGCTTACCCCAGTGTCCCCACGGGACCGTCACCGGCTTGAATTGGCCAGAGAAAACGCTTCCAGCTGCCTGTGAACAGCCTGTTTCTGGTGGGAGGCTCCCATGGAGTCAGCAAGTGTTGTCCTTTGGGGGTTTACGGTGCCGTTTTGTGCCATTGGCTCCCCGTGCCTTACCCGTTGTGCCAAACTGGCCGCTCCTCCCTGTCCTGCTGCCTCCCTGTATCCCCGGTCCCTTCTCCCCGGGAGGGATGCTCAGCAGGAGATGGGTCCCCGGGGCAAGGCACGTGGGTTCCTCAGGCAAAACCAGCCAAACTGTCCGTAAATCCCAAGGGAAACATTGTCTGCGTTTGGACTTACAGCGGTCGACCTAGTGTAAGGCTTGTAGTGAGCGGAGGGTGGTTGGCAGAGGCCACTGGCATAGTCTTTAATGGCACAGCCATAGGGCATTAGGTAGTCCTACAAACAACGGAGAGAGGTTGGAGAGCAGCCCTCCTTCCCTGCCGCGTGGGCTGCACCACGAGAACGCGCTTCATAGAATCATCTAGGTTGGAAGGGGTCTTCAAGATCATCTAGTCCAACCATCAACTCAACTCTGACAAAAAACCATCACTCAACCATGTCCCCCAGCACCAGGTCTACCCATCTTTTGAACACCTCCAGGGATGGTGCCTCAACCCCTTCCCTGGGCAGCCCATTCCAAGGCTTAAGAACCCTTTCAGTGTAAAAATTTTTCCTAATATCCAACCTGAACCTCCCCTGGTGCAACTTGAGGCCATTTCCTCTTGTCCCATCACCTGTGACTTGGGAGAAGAGACCGACCCCCCCTGGCTACACCCTCCTTTCAGGGAGTTGGAGAGAGTGAGGAGGTCTCCCCTCAGCCTCCTTTTCTCCAGGCTGAACACCCCCAGCTCCCTCAGCAGCTCCTCCTTGTTCTCCAGACCCCTCACCAGCTCCGTTGCCCTTCTCTGG